ATGTGTTCTAATGCTGTTGTTAAAAGGAGATGACAGCTTTTAATAAAGAGGTCATCAAGTCAATGAAAATTCAAAAATTTTCCACCCTAACGGGAACATAGCCCTAGAAATTTCCAGTCAAATGTGCCGCTATCCAACGAACTTCGAGGATGAGAATTCATTCTGCAATCAAACGACCACCCAAAAGTCCGAAACAAATCCAATATGATCGAGTTTACGACCTCACTGTATAATATAAGGCCGGAACATTTTCTCAATTACCATAAAACGCCCTCGTCACGCAAAGCCTCAACGTCGTCGTCATGCGAGCGGACAAGAAACTGATAGAAATTATTAATTTTTACGACACAATTTCACCGTAAACTCGAGATTACTTCAATTCGCGACTCCCAAGATCGCAGTAAAGTACGTTACGTCACCGGGTAATGTTTACAAAACCCCTGCCGGGACCGGGAACGCTCGAACCCGGGTGTAATACCTCCCCGGGCGGTGGACACACGGTTAACCCTTTGGCCCATTTTCCCAGATAAAGCCAGTTTTGCCGTATGATATATGGGCTTTGCGGAGCTTCAAGTTGCCGCAACAAATATCGAGCTTTTGATCACAACTTGAGAATGACCACTTTGGATGATAAACGGCTCACCAAGTTTCGAACAATTACAATTAATCTTGATGATTGGGGTTTATTTTATCAATCGGTAACCCCCCAATAACGTTTCCGCGTTGCCGTCATTAACAGCAAAATAATCTCGTTTTGACGAAGACTATTTTTATTCGAGATTAAAGTCACTTTACCTTGAAGTTTTTTAAATACAACATATATTTCAGGATAAAACGGGAGTCTTTATTGGAACTGAAATTTTAGGTCATACCTAACGTTTTAGACAAAATTGCTATAAAAAAAAGATTTTCCTCTAATTTTCTAAGTAATGACGTCTACACCCACCACCGTCCGCCGGTGGAAATCTTGAGATATTAAAATTACAGAATACGGAGGAAATATTAGAATTTAGTTTCATTCATCATCTAAGGATGACAGGACAAATGAAATTACAGATTTGTAGCTAAGGCAGCCCTTTAGTTTCGCCACTCATTGACAGAAAGAAGTTTAAATAAACCGGATAATTAACGTTTCAGTATTTAGATTTGCTTTTAATGTTTTGTTTATTATTATTATTATTATTATTATTATTATAAATATAAAAATCATGATGTGCGACAATTATTATTTATAATGCAAGCTGAAGTTCCGCAGATTCTGCATAAATGCTATCGTAAGCAGTGTGTCCCACGTGGTATATACGTATATATTATTGTGTAATTGACACCAACATAGGCCGTAGCGTCAACAAATCTTTTATTAAGACTTCCTCGTTATCAGAATCCGTGCAAAAGTCTGTCACCCCCCGGATTCAGGATTACCCATTCGGCCTATTGTCAGGACCATTGGTGGTTCTCCAACATATTTCTTAGCAAAATATCTAGCTGATATATTAATACCCTTACTGAAACTGATAGTGTCGCACTTAATTCCTATTATTTTATTGAGAAAATGAATATTATTATTACAGAAGATCCACACTACATTCTGATTAGTTTAGACGTAGAATCCTTCTTTACTAAACCATTATTTCAGATATATTAAAATCAGAGAGTCTGGAACCAAGCCTTCTCATCGTAATTGAAAAATACTTGTCTGGAACATATTTTTCTTGTGCCAAATTTGTGAACAAACTTCTGGAACAGCTATGGGTTCTCCATTATGATGTCATTGCGAATATATTTATGGAAGCCTTTGACAAAAGGCTCGTGACATCTTCCATCAAAAGCCGAAATTATGGAACCGCTATTGATGATACTTTGGTATTTGGCATCATGATAAACAATACCTCCAAGATTTTAACATAGGTTCTACCATTGAATTAGAAACTAACAATAAGCTCCCATTCTTAAATCAGGCCTAACATTGGGTCATTTTGTTTACAGAAAACCTACGCACGCAGACCGATACCTTAATGCATTGTCACATCACCATTCTTCTCAAAAATCATCGGGTATCAACTCTCATCTGTACAGAGCCTTAAAACTATCTCAACCCGAGTCACTGAACCCCGAATTAAAACACCTTATGTCTGCTCTTCTCCCTAATAATTTCCACATCAGAGATATTAAGCGTTCCATCACAAAATACACTTCAACACAACCTTCTAAAGACGACGAGTTCGAAGGCAACCCCACACTTGGCACTGTTGTCCTGTTACATTCAAAACTTTATTGAGCACATATCAAAAGTTCTCAAGAAATATAACGTAAAACGCAGATTTACCACTTGTTCAAAAATCTTTCATTATCTTCGATCCGCCAGTGACAAAATTCCGTTTGACGTTTACAGTATTCTGTGCATATGCGGCGAATACATTGGCGAGACAGCACAAAAAATATCAATTAGGCTCAAAGAACATAAAAGAGCCTCGAGCCGAATCTATACAAATCTATAATCAACCAGACAAACAATCTTAACCGCGACTCAGGTCTACCTTTCATCAATATGGGAATCAGTCATCCGACACAATCTTCGTGTCCCTCCTGTAGCTCCGCCCCCCTTCAAACAATATATACGCAGGTACAGAGTAGAATGCCAGTTTCAGTTTAGCTCCGAAGAAGTCAACAGGATAATTGTCGAAACGTTAGCAAGTTTGATGACGCGGGAGGAGTCCAGAAGATTGGTAAATATTATTACAGTAACCTGTGGATGTTTCTTTGAAAAAAAAATAGAATGAAACTTTCGGAAACATTTTGAAGAACTCAATTTACAGTACTTTTTTTTGTGTCGGGTGTAGACTCTTCATCGCTAATTAATTAATCCTACAATAATTAAGTAGTTACTACAAATTCATTGCACTAACATAGGCGAAGTCAATGCTTTAATTGCTTTCAAAAATTTCTCCCGGGCGTTGCAAGCTGCAAAATCCTCTAAAGTATATTGCGCGCCTTTTAACTTCCGATCTTAATCTCAGGTCCGAAGCGGAGCCCTCGCGCACCATAGAAAGTTGTCGTCCGAATCGCAAGATTTAGATTTAACTTTGCAATAATCCGAAGCAAAAACATACGCCCCCGAACATCGACTGTTTCAAAGTTAGTCCGAAATATAAAGTTTGCGGACCCTGCCCGTCGCGACTCCACGATCGATTGTTCCGGGCGCTAAACTCGCGACGAAATTGCGTTTCCTCGGTAAACCAAATTAAATTCTTTGTCCTTCCGATTGCTACCGGGTGCGGCTACGCAACCCTCTACGGGGCAAGTCAAGAAAACTAATAATGCGGACGTAAACAACTTAGGCCGCGCTGTAATCGTCCCCTAACGGAATCGTGTTTTATGAAAACGCCGGGGAATAAAAATGTAGTAATGACGTCACGTAAGATGTCGAAATGGTAAAATGTCCGCATCGCGATCGGGCTAGACAATATCTCGCGGTAATAAAAGGCGGCCCAGCGATTGGAACACCTTCGGGCACGTAACTATTTCATATAAAAAGACGGGGTTTATTGCCAGCGCTTTCGCGCCGTTGGGAATACCCGCCGAGGTTTGCGCCCACGCCAGGGCCGAACTAGCCCTTTAATATACTTGTAACTATCGTCGATCTTTGTTTAACCGCCGACGCCGTTGGCGGTTAAACAAAGATCGTAAGAAAGTGATTTTCTTGGCCGACCCATTGGAACTGTTGTTCAAACTTTAGCTGGTAATCCAACCCTGCCGATTCACCTTTGCTGTAAAGCAAAGGAAAAAGATACGGCTGATTCTTTCGCTAGAATTCCGCCCTATTAACACCTCTTGTATCCCCGTTGGCTCGGCGTTGGTTATTATTAGAAGTTTATACGATTCTATTGTTAAGATAACAATTTTACGGAGGCGTCTCAGGGGAATGATTGTCAGAGAGCGTTAGATAAACTTATATGTTATACTCGAGACAATCTGAAAGGACCTGAAAGTGCAATAAAAATGGATCTTTTAACCCTGTACTCTACATATTATATGTAGTTGCATATTGAAAATTTTACTTGATACGGTTTTTGTGATGTATGCAGATGATCTTTCCTTGGTGTTGTCGTGTGGAAATGACGATGACCTCTCGGAGAAGCCAACAGAGATTGATGGCATGGTTTGGAAAAATTTATTTGTATTTCAACGCAAGCAAAACCCAAACTATAAGGTTTCATAACTATCAGAAACATTGTGATAATTTTAATATCTGCTCAGGCAAGGCAATCACAAGTGGGGATAATGTAAGTGGAGTCTCTTTGTGATACTCTTATTTCAACTCTAAATAGAGTTTACACTATTTAGAGTTGAAATAAGAGTATCACAAAGAGACTCCACTCACATTATCCCCACTTGTGATTGCCTTGCCTAAGCAGATATTAAAATTATAACAATGTTTCTGATAGTTATGAAACCTTATAGTTCGGGTTTTTTCATAAATCTTCTTACTCATTTTATACTATGCGAAGGTGGAGTCCCGTTAAGAGATCAATTTGTGGGATGCATCTGTAAATGCCGATAAAGTATTTTTGACTCTAAAACGTATATTAAAGAATATTGCACCCATTTCCAAGTTTTCATCTGTAGGGGTTTATTTGCCCAGTATCGAAAATATTTTTTGAGTAAATGTGTATATATTTTAAATATAAATAAATAATAAAATAGATATTTTTATTATTATTATTATCAGCAGTGAGGTTGGAATGTGCGATCGCACGCCAAGAAGGTCCAACTTGGTTGACATTATTTTCCGACATTGGAAAATGCGCTATTATTGCTTTACTTAGCTAGAAATAAAATAAAATTTGTTTCCTCTTCCTACCTTTTTACCTGGTATTAAAATACCCATAAAATTAATGCACATAATCACTTTAAAGTATTATTGCAAGACTTTTTTAATTGTCTCTGATTTAACAACAATGTCAGACGATGTTGAAAACTGTTTAAAACTTTTATTGCAGGTGATTACTCTCTGGACATCTATCCGGTGATGCTGGACGACGACGCGAAATACGAATGCCAAGTGTCGCCCGGACCATTGGGTCAACCGGGAATCAGAAGCCATTTCGCAACTCTAACCGTGTTAGTACCGCCAGATCCTCCTAAAATCGTACAAGGAGATTACATGGTCACGACCGAAGACAGAGAAATAGAGCTAGAGTGTATCAGTTACGGGGGAAAACCGGCTGCGGAAATCACATGGATAGATGGTCACGGTAAGTTCTGTTAACAATAGTGAAGAATATATATATTTCTCATTATCCCATAAAACAGTTTGATTGTGTCGGATACAGATAAAAACTGAGCAGTTAGCCCGCTCACATTTTAGAAATAGCCATTTTGTAACATTAGAAAACAATATATGAACAAATTTACTTGGTTCACATATGATATATAATGGTAAGACTGTAAGCCCAGGTCGACATTAAGAAGCGTACTTAGAAAAATAATGTCAGAAATGTAGAATCAAGGAAAGGGGTGTATCCACCAGATACTAAGCGTGGAGATATCTGTAATCTGACGAAAGAATCTCGAGCTTAGAATTCTCTAGAACTTTTTTAAAGGACCTGAAATATCCAGAATGCAAAGGCTTTTATAATTAAAGTAACGAAAACGTTTTGGATGCAATATTATAAAACTTAAAATACTTTGGTGTTTATTAAACTTATAGCACGACTGACTTTCTTATAAAACTATGAAAAAATTATAAAGTTTTTTACAAAGTCCTTATATCCCTATATCCTTTACCATACAATTAAATTAATTTGAGTCGATCGGTTAGTTAAAAAAGGTCTCATGACGAAGAGTGTACGTCCGGTTCATAAAGTCCATTTGCTCGTTCGAAAATCTGGCGGTGTCATAACAGGTGCGTGTACGGTCAGATTTTGGATTGCCTCTCGTGCCGAGCAACAGTTGGACGTAACAATTTTAACAGAAATATAGTTACGGGCTTTGCGGTGAGAAGCCAAAATGGGATTATTCGCAGATGCGGATATCGCTGACAGTAATGTTTATTAAATATTGTTTTCCCGTGGATTCCTGGTTTAGCTACCATTGGATTGTATAAAAGTTTTAATTGATCGATGCCGGTCGGTGAATTGACAATTTTAAGTCTAAATTGAAAAACCGTACATAGTATTGGTCAAAAATGACCGCATGAAATAAATCATTCACCGGATTAACTGTCAAGTCGATATCGGATTTTCAAATATTCATACTTTGGCGTGCAGGATCGATTTTAAAAGTGGCCTCACGCAAATTTACATTGGTTCAATGGCGTCGAATTTTTTTTCAGGTAACGTACTAACGGAGGGTATAGAATACCTGGTTGAAGAACTCCCGGACCATCGGAGGTACACGGCCAAATCGATATTGAAACTCACCCCGCGGAAAGTACACCACAACACGACGTTCACGTGTCAAGCGCAGAACACGGCCGAGAGGACGCACAGATCTGCCAAATTAAAGCTCGAAGTAAGTTGGGAAAAATTGAATTAAATTTGTTGAATGTAATAAACGGTTGGCAGCCGTTTGTATTATATTCAACATTCTGTGGTTCAGCGGCGTATTCTACCATTCTGCCATTTATAAAATTTTAAAGTAACTTTGTGAAAAAACTGTCTAGAGAGAGATTATGTATGGCTTCAAGTTCGAGTTCCATTCAAAAGCCTTATTGGACGCGTTTTCCAGATCCACATAATGATTATTAATTCGTGTTCCAAGAAAATTGATTTTTTTTGCCTTTGAAAGTTAAACATGTGTTTATTTCATTCCACTTCTTATCTTCTACAGCGAACAGATGCTTTAGAAGTGCAAAATGAGTGTAATCTTCTTTTACAGCTCTTCTGCGTAAGAATTTAATGCCGTATAACGACATTTTACACTTCGTTTGGATTTTGTTATAGCGTCTTTCCGTGTTTTCGGTATTACTATTGTGGCATACGTCCTACAAGACTATGATTGTGGTGCGCAAGTGTTGGGTGTGCAAAAAACAGGTGTTCAAATTAAAAATCAACAATTCTCCACGCTGTCTACACCCGCCTCAGACTTCACTATTGCCTTGCCTTGGATACAAGCTGCAGAAGCTCCCATTGTTTCTTCTGTGAATTGTTATAGTTGCTCTCGCATATATAATTTGCAATTTGGAATAATAAAATATAACATAATGAATAGAATAATATCTTTGATGGCAAACAACCCATATTAAAATTTCGAAACTTTCGCTGACGGAGAGCACAGTGTCCGCCAAGAAATAAATGGAGCCTCAGAGAACAGGTTCAAACTTGCATTGGCTATGTAGCAGATTGCCAAGAGTCAAACTAAACATTCTAGCCTGTTGGCGAGAGTTGAAAGACAATAAATTAGAAATGTAGAGCCAGCAAAACTATCATATTCACATACATAACATGCGTTATATAACATAACATAACATACGGAATTATTTGCTGGGGAAATGTACGTCAAGTAGGTCAAATATTGATTGCACAAAAGGAACTGTTAGACCTATGATTAAGTGCAGTCAAAATTATGTCTTTTCAATATTTATAAATGTTACAAAAAGGCAAACAATCTCAGTAAAACAGAACTGCAATACACAAAACTTGCTATGAGTGCTGTAAAAAAGACATGTTTACAGATACAGTCTAATATTTTTCAAGAAAAAATATGCATATTTTATCACGGGCAATTGTTTTTATTGACTTTAAGACGTTGTTAGATACTTGCTTAATGGAGATTTAGATCACTATTATTAGTCAAATTTATTATTAGCTACCTGAATAATTCCGACAGAAAATTTATATTTCTATTTTTAATTTACATTTTTTCATTGATAAAGTCACAAACGTAAGATTTTCTTTTTGAAATTATCTGTACAAAAAATAGTAATCAAAAAACTGAAATAAAAGTCTATTTAATTTTATAAATTTGGAAAGATAGTAGGTCCTCCTGTTTCTATATTATTATGCATTTGCTTGTTGGGGTTTCCTTTTAAAGTTTTGCTTGTTTCTTTCACATACTATTTCGCTTTTTAGAGTTGAATACCGCAGTGTATCATTAATTACTGAATAATGTTTATGGTAATTAAATCGAGAACAATGCTTAGCTTGATGACGCAGCGGTCCTGTACATAAGTAGGAGAGAGTTCAGAACTCCTAAATACTACCTACTAAAAAAATCCTAATTGCTTACGTGTTTTTAAGTTTACATATAATAATAGGCAAAATAATCTGGAAATTACTATTGGTTATTTATTACTTCAATTATAATATTTCTGTGATTAGCCCCAAAAAATATTTGATGTTACTTCCTCCCAGCTTTCTATCAAACATAATCGATACAGTAAATGGAGTTGTGTCGTTCGCTGTTCTAATATTCGATCCATCAAACATCCGATTTCCGAAGACGCCTTAATCAAAGTCACTGTTTGCGTTTTGTATTAACGTGAAAAATTCCTTTAGGTAGGAGGGTTTTATTTGCTGGAGAGCTTTTTCTCTTTCGGAATCCAGCGCAAACATTGATCGATCGTTTGGCGTTATTTTTACCGGAATTCCCCGTAAAATTTTCCGTTTCGTCAACTAACGCTACAAGTGGCACTCATTGCAAGAGGACTAACCATTAAATTCTTAAGCTACTTTCATTGTCCGGTATTGCAAAATTCTTTCTTTTTTTTGAGTGTAGGTATGGATATGGAAAATGGTGCGTCACAGGCGACCCGGTAGTCCTGATAAAACACTTTTAAAAAGCACAGCATTTTATTTATTTTAAATAGTAAAAAAACATAATATTCTTCGACATCGGAGGAACTGTCATCTCTTCTTGACGTTATAATTAACGAATTGAGGGCCAGATCGGTCCAGTAGTGAAGGTCTAACTTTTTCTGCTTTCCTTTAATGACATGCTGCACTTCTTCTCGCCTCTTCGCTAATTAGGCACTTCTCTCACTTCTTCAGTGGCTTGATCAAATAGTTTCAGATCTTTCATTTTGAATGTCGTGTTGCGTCCCTGCTAAAACCCATATAAGTTCTGAAAAATGTAGTTTGTAACTCACCCAACATACATCAATCTTTGTGGACGACATTTACATAGAACTTTATATTTAGGGGCACACAAATACAAACGGAAAAACATTCTTCAAAGCTAACTAACCAACTAAACTAACCAAAATAACAAACAAATAAGTAACAAATTACAATATTGATCCTACATACAGACATATATTCGTCTAAAGTATAAAAACCATGCTGCAGTAGGTAATTCTTGATAGACATACTTTTGACACTGGAATTGAAAAACTTATGACATGAAATGGCAAATCCGGTCTATTCCTGTGCAATAAGTGACCTAAAAGCTGGTTTAGCAGTGAAAGTCAATTGCAATAGTTCTTCCGGAAGTAATTTTTCAAAGAAACTTCCACACTATTTACACTATTTACAAATTGTCCTCCTGCCTTGGTTGTTGATTTATCGGACTGGCTCGCATCCTCCTCTACCAATGGAGGGGCACGATATTGGTTAAACCAAACCTTCTCATCTTAATTGAAAAATGCTTGTCTGGAACATATTTTTCTTATAACAGTCAAATGTTTGAACAAACATCGGGAACAGCAAAAATCATCGGTTATCAACCCTCTTATTTACAGATTAGTAAAACTATTTCAACCCGAGTCACTGAACCGAGATTTAAAACACTACATTTGCTCTTCTCTCTTAAACGTTGCGTCATAAAATACACTTCAAAAGTTCTCAAGAAATATAACGTCAAAAACAGATTTACCACTTGTCCAGAAATCTCTCAACATCTTTGATCAAAGAATATATTGGAGGGATCGAACGAAAAATATCAATTAGGTTCAAAGAAAATGAAAGAGCATTAAGACTACGACAAATCAACTCATCAGCAGGTGCCCAACACAATCACTAATCCGGACACGAAATCTTACATGGCATCAATTCTTCTACCAACGAAAAATCCGAGAATCTATAGAAATCTATCAGCAACCAGACAATCTTAACCTCGATTCAGACAATGTTCATGTCCCTCCTTTAGCTCTGCTCCCACTTAAATAATATATAAGGTTGTTCGGAAAGTCATTTCGTTTTTTCCCGTCAGAGGACTTAATTACGTTTTTTCGAAACCAACTTCACACTTAAGCCACATAACCATTATATGTCTTGAGAGCTGATATTGCAAGGCTTGTGTGTGAAAAAGTTCTATTAATTCTACGCAGTAGTTTTTGGTTGGTGCCCTTTTAAATATGGAGAGCAATAAGCAGCATTTTCGTCATATTTTACTTTTTTACTTCAGAAAAGGTAAAAATGCTGTCCTAGCGAGAAAAAAATTGACGGATGTGTATGGAGAAGGCGTGTTAACAGTACGCCAGTGCCAGAACTGGTTTGCAAAATTTCGATCCGGCAATTTTGATGTCGAAGATGCACCACGGTCTGGAAGGCCGGTCGAAGCTGACAAAGGTGCGATAAAGGCATTAGTTGATGCAAATCGGCGAATAACCACACGAGAGATCGGTGAGAGATTAAATTTGTCGAATTCGACTGTTTATGGCCATTTGAAAGGCATGGGCTTAACCTCGAAGCTCGATGTGTGGGTGCCCCATATCCTTACGGAGCGAAATTTGTGTCGTCGCGTTGACGTGTGTGATTGGCTCCTCAAACGTCAAGAAAATGATCCATTTTTGAAGCGGATTATTACTGGGGACGAAAAATGGGTTGTATACAACAATGTTAAACGCAAGAGGTCATGGAGCAGAAAAGATGAACCGGCTCAAAGCGTGTCAAAAGCCAACATTCACCAAAAAAAGGTGATGCTCTCCGTTTGGTGGGATGTCAAAGAAATCGTTTTTTTTGAGCTTTTGCCGGACAATACAACGATTAATTCAGAAGTCTATTGTCATCAACTGGACAAATTGACTGATTCACTTAAAGAGAAGAGGCCCGAATTAATCAACAGGAAGGGTGTAGTGTTCCACCAGGATAATGCGAGACCTCACACAAGTTTGGTCACTCGCCAAAAACTTTTACAGCTTGAATGGGACGTACTGCCTTTCATGTTCCCCAAAAAAAACCAAATGACTTTCCGAACAACCCAATATAAACAGGTACAAAGTAGAAAACGAAGAATTCTTGTCTAGTCCAATCGCGTTTTCCATCGATAGTGGCTCCTTTCACTTGCAAACAACTTTCAACAAAACCGAAATAAATGATGGCTTTCTAGATCGCTCTCTCAACTCACATTCTGTTCAAGAGCAAAAATGATTCTAAAGATCTTATGTTTCTGTGAATTTCCTTAAAGTTTAATACCATATGGCACATATGAACCACGACCCTTTTGAGTTGTCTCAAGACATATATTTGAGTAAAAACCTTGAAGTGCACATAATCTGATTGAGGTTGCCAGACCAAATATGTATCCAATATGACACCAACCAGTTTTACTGGTTCTCTTTTCAGAGGATGTGTTTAATTCCTGTTTGTTTGCATTGCGTAGTCAGCGAACAAAAGACACGCACGTGCCACCGAATTTGATGTCATTTAACAAGACGATAAATAGCACCTTCAGGCCCGTGATCTATTATTAGTAATCACCGGATTGGATCTGCACAATCGGGTTTCATTGGATGGAGCATGTATTGCATACGTATATATTGTTTTATTTTTAGAAATACGTATCAATTTTTGTTTGAAAGAAGGTAACGTTGTTTATAAAATTGATGACGGGAGGTAATCCAATAACGAGAATGTATTGCCCCGCAATAAACAATTTGGTGAACTGTTGTCCGACATGGCCGAAAACGTCACGGGCTAAAGAAAAATATGAGCGAATATTAATAAAAATATATTCCGCCTGTCGAAATATAAAAGCCACCGGCCGAAAATTAAAATTAATAGATATCGTTCGGTTTGATTTATTTTTTATGCGTTTCGGGGAGTCATATATATGTGGGACACGAAAATTATCGATTTATAGTTAAAAAAGGGGGACGGTCGCATCCGCTTTGCGCTATCCGAGGATTAAGTGATCGGCGAAATTTATATATCGAAAAAGTGATAAATTGAAACTGCAGAGTGTGGGAAATTTTATTAAAAAATCAAGCCAAGCCAAAATGCGGCCGTTTTATTCGGAATATACGTGGTGATCCATTAATTATTCATTAATAATAAAATCCTTTAGATAAAATAATGACTTTATTGTTACAAGGGAGTGTCTTATGAAAATTACTGGAGAATCAAAAAATTGTACTAAAACAGCAACAAGTCATTTGAACCTGACGTGCGCCTGTGGTAGTAGCTAGAATGGTTTACTTAGCATAATGTACGGGGTGGCCTGTTTAAAGGGAGCCAATACCTTATCTCGAAACCTATGGGGATTACAAAAAGAAATAAATACAAAAGTTGTTTTTATTAAAATGACTTTTTTTCCTAATCGTCACTTTTTTATATACACGGTGATAAAACAACGTTACATCTTTTTAAATATAATATATTTATTGCATTTTTGGATAGTCCTTTCAAAGGCAAATTCAACGATATATATGAATACGGGTCTGCGATGCACCGTTTCGAACTTATTAGCGTCCATCTTCAGAATTCAAGTTATGTTTAAACCATCATTGCTGAGTTGCTTATTAACTTTTTAAACTTCTTTCCATCTATTATTTTTTCGAAAATAATGCTCACCGTATTGGCAATAGTGATCAAGACCAACTAAGAAGGAAAATATATTGTCTTCATTAAAGAGGCTAGGAAAAGATGAAACCAATTTAAATATAAGCCTCCGTAAAGTTGTTTGTAAAATGGGATTTAAGTACAATTAAACAACAGATCCATAATTTACCTTGATGAAACATGGTCGATACACACCACATAATATCCAACGGGTTGATTCCACTCAAAATTGTCAGACGAAAGCACTTTCAAATACCAGGTCAGAAGACGGATTTGTCCCAAACTACTTGCTGTTGTCTGCAAAGAATATTATTTTGAAAATTGGTTTCAAAACAATCTTTAAAAAAATATTCCTAATAACAGTGTTGCTGTCATTAATAACGCAAGCTACTACAGCCGTCTGCTACCAAAAGCACTAGCCTCATCAAATAATATTGATTTTAAATTCAGTGTTATAAATTTGATAAAAAATGTACATACCAATTGGGAGCTGGAAAAATTCAGTATAGCACATTAAAAAATTGAGGACATACAAAACAACATGAATCCTATTATAATTAACCTTAATGATGACTGAAGGGGAAACAGAATTAGATTTAGACAATTAGAATAAAAATGTAGTTATGTAGAGATATTCCTAGTTATGAATTTATCGTATATATTTAATGTCATTGTTTTTTCTCCCAAAATAATAAAAAAAAATTATATTATTACCAAAACCTTCGAGAGTCCATTTTATTGCTGTCGGCAGGTACAGACTATACGTTCAGAATATAATAAAGAAAAAAGTCATTCAACTTAACAACATAAACTGTGTAGGTGATTGAGTTACCCCGCTGCTAAAATACATGATATCCCATTTCGAGATTCTGTCTACCTTTGGATTGAACATCAAGACAATTACACTGTGTGTGAGAGAGAGAGAGAGAGAGAGCGCCAAAGATTCACATATATGTTTTTTATTAACTGAATGAGTATATCCTTGTCTTTTTATAAATTCCTGAGGGACATGATCGTCGCACTATTTTGGCGATGTTAACTAAATATTTTTCCAACGCCATACCATACGCACATGAATACTGATTAAACTTAATTATTGCATTTATTATGGTGATACAAAAAAAAAACCGAAATAGCTACCCCGCATATTCCCAATTACTAGTAAATCACCCCGCATAACGAAATGAAAGAACTTTACCGGTTTTAATAAAACTTCGCGTTCCTCTTTCCAGGTTAAATACGCCCCCAAAGTGACGGTCACCGTCCTCTCGGGCACAAGCTCAAGCGGGCGAATCCCTGAAGGGGCCGAAGTTAGGTTGGGGTGTTTAGCGGACGCCAATCCCCAGGATGTATCCTACAAATGGTTCCTTAACGACGAGCCCTTGATCGGAGACTACACGACCGAACTCGTCCTTCACAACGTGTCCAGAAAACATCACGACGCCATCGTCAAATGCGAGGTTCATAATGCCGTAGGGAAAAGCGAGGAGAGCCAAACGTTGGATATCAGCTGTAAGCAGAAATTTTATTTCTTTCGCACGACTCGCACCCTAGGAAACTTTACAAGCATCCAAACGAGGCGTTGAAAAAAAAAGGAATTTTAAAATGGCGGTAGGATCGGAAAATAGGTTAAGATAACAGTGCTGAACATTGTATAATTTAGAGTTAAGTTATAGTTCTGTTATTATAGAGTTACCGTAAATACGTAAGGCGAATTGATCGTCAAAAATACTCCAAAATCGTACCCACTATACTGGGTGTATCATGGTTGATGGCACACAGACGTTTTCTTGTATCTAAAAGCCTTCACTAACATGGTTGAAATAATTAATAGAGATTGGCGGGTGAATTCGATTGCGGACATATACAATACAGGTTCAAGTTTTTCCTACAACGTCCTGGAAAAATCTTCTCATCCTGGATTATCCCGGATTTTTCAATATAGTTATATATACTTACTAACTGTTTCCAGCTCTTAAGTCGTACTTTTGGTCAATACCAAAACGCCCCATAATAATTAAAAACTTTTTGAACAATCCAGAAACAGAATTCTGGTTTTTATTCGCTGATAATGCTGCCGCACTTTTCCATAAAACAAGTTTGTTTATAGGTAAGGAAATATCAGCAGTAGGATGTCTAAAAATGTATAGAGAACCCAAATGCGTAATAAGAGCTAGAAATACGGAGTTGTTCATTCTTTTCATTTTAAAACATATGCTCCAAACAGATGAATTAAGTGCAAATCGTAATACCAGTTGAGTTTACTTAACAGTCGAGGAATCCCTCTTACAATGGGAAATGCCATCTTCCCAAATATTGGACACATTCAAGCCACAATAAAAACTGTTTTATTGTATAATGAAACATTCATAAATGAAGGAACTTGTAACCAATGAAAAGTTCGAAGATGGCAAGCTAATATCAATTTTCGTGTCCGATGATTTGAAGTTTTTGATAATTTTACAAAAATGCAACTGGGGCTTAAAAACTTTGCCTACCCGGTGCTAATGCAGAGGAAGAAAGAGTGTTTTCCATTATAAAAAACGTTTGGAGTAGCGAAAATTATGTTGCGCTGAAAGCAAGCATATCATGATCGAATCTGAAAAGGTTGCGTGGGCTTCATTTACTGATGTTATAAATGGTTTTCTAGGAATTGTAAAAAACATGTTAGAGAAATTTAGTGAAACGGGATGCAATATGAGTATAAAACTACCCTTTTTACACCCACCTCTGTACTACTCTCCCCAAAATCTTGGTGTCACGTGTGAGGAGCAAGGTGAGAGGTTTCACTAAGATTAAAGAAATGGAACGCAGATACCAAGGTTAACGGAAAACTGTTACGATGGCAGAGTAGTGCTGGTCATTAAAAATTAGACAGAATGAAATGAGATCGAAAGCAAAAGTTTAGAAATTGTCGTTGTCTTTCTTATATCCTTGTTTCATAGCCACCAGCCATCGGCAGATGCTTTTTACAAAACTTCTGGATTCCTCCTGCGTCGGTTTTTGCTTAGTCGAAATTGCTGACGTTTCGCCAATCATCCTGTTGGCTTCTTCAGCAATTTCGACTAAGCAAAAACCGACGCAGGAGGAATCCAGAAGTTTTGTAAAAAGCATTACAGTAGCCTGTGGAAGTTTCTTTGAAAAATCATCGGCAGATGCTTGGACACTTGCCGTTGCTGGTTATCAGTTTCGTTGCTCCAAAATAGTTTGACTGATAACTTAGATATTGTCCCGTCTGTGTTAGTGTTTCATATACACAGGGGCTGATGGTACATCTCGAAGGGGTATGCAGGAAAAAGGGGATTAAGGTGCTTGGCAGTATAGTCCGGTTTCTTTCCAAAATTTTTTGTTGGATTTTTTCTACAACTCTAAGATTTAATTTTATTTAATTATATGTTATGTGTATACGACAGTGTATAGGTTTCTCAAATTTTATTATGCCTAGTATTATTATAACTTAAATTTCGAACCAATGTGAGTTAGAAATCCCAATATTAGAATTTGGCTGTAATCATTATTAAACGACTTAAATATTTTTCAGTAAGCAAAATTATTTACCGGAATAACATTTCTTCTGCTTCAAAAGGAAGTAATTGCGAAAACAATTTGTCTACAAAAATTGCTTCGCATAAAGATAGAAACTGGCACGGAATTAGACATTCCCAGGACACGCTATAAGTAAAACCCACGGACGATCGATGCCTGCAAAATTGCTCGAAATAACGCCGTAGTTTTCCAACTCTAGCCGCTCTCTTATTTACGATAATGCTCGCTAGAGTCGTAAGATATTCCTCTGATTGTGTATGTATTCCGTACTACGCTTTTGCACTCTGTTTCCGATCGTGAGTGGTATTTTTAACGCGGGACTCTTCGATGCTGTCTTCGTTGGTGTTCTTATACAGGGTCTTAATGGAATGACAAAGATGGTATAAATTAATGACACCAAATATTGCTACCAAGCGTTTAATAAGTTATATATGAAAAAGAAAGCTACCGTATTAGTTTATCGACTAACGCGACAAATGTGCAACAACAACATTGATAATTTTAAAATAACAGTAAATGGTCACTCCAGAAATCGCTGTTTTCCCAGAAGGAGACATTAAATGGTTCTACATACAACTCAATAAGTCAGTTTCAATATTTAGATATTTAGTCAAAGTGGTAACTAATAACATCTCGAGCTTAACATTTCTTAAGCTACAAAAAGTTCCAGTTGATGATTTTATATTGGACTGGATTCCTCACACTACAATAAAATCAAATAATAAATAAAAATAAACTCTGGCTTATTTAAAAACATTTTAATTATGTACTGTTAACACATCTTCTGGATTCCTAATGCGTCGATTGTTGATGAATCGAACTTGCTGACGTTTCGCCGATCATCCTGTTAGCTTTTTCAGAGCTTAACTAAAACTGTCTCGCGGCATCGCTGAAGAAGAAGAAAGAAAAATCCGAGGATCTAAAAAAATCTATAAGCAACCAAGCAATCTTAACCGCGGCTCGGGTCTTTACCTGTCACCAATATGGGAATCAGTCATCTGAGGCAATGTATATGCCATGATTGTCGAAACGTCAGCAAGTTAAAACAACCGATATAGGAGGAACGCAGATCAAGTGACGGTCAATTTTCACAACAAATGTAAATTGGGTCGACTGGAAATAAAAACATAACATCATACCATCTTTTTGTCACAATATTATAAATATATTTTTTAAACAACTTTTATATAAAAAGGTTTTCTCTATCTCTATTGGTTCGCTATGGCACCTAGACATTTGCTTACTTGTTGATGAAACTATAGAGAAAAAAGTATGGATGACGTCACATTCGCCATTTAAACTAAATTTGAATGTGGTTATATACAAGAAAATATTTCTTAACCAGTGTCTTTTGGTCCCCGTTTTATCGATATGGGTCCATGGCACTAAATTTGAATACACTGATACATTTTTCTTGTTTACAATTTTTTATTCCTGTAATTTAGTGTATCTTGAGCTTATTTGCAAATTTTTGTGAAAAAGTTTAAATATGTACAGGTGATATTTAGAATTACATTATTACATTACTGGACGTTAGCATATCATGTTGATCATCCAACTTATTGACCAGTTAAGATTAGTATTATTGGTCATAGATATGTACCAGATATTTTGCGACTCATTGACATGTCGCATTTCCTTCTTAGATTTTAAGATATCACTAACCCTTTGTAGACCATTAACGAATTTTCGTAGATGCTCCACAATTTCGATCGAAACCACGGTCGGTCCAGTCCGATATCGGATCGAACGTCGTATTAACCTGTGACGTGGACGGAAACCCTTTTCCGGATATCACATGGTACCACGAGGACGCTAAGAAGATCGTAAGCACCAGTCCCAATCTCACCTTAAGAGTGGACCAGTTCACCGCTGGAAAATACTACTGCAAAGCTCACGTTCCGGGCTTTCCTGACGTCGGGGCCGAGGCCGCCATATATCTCAAGGGTAAGTGCCGTTTGCTCAGTTTCACTTAACTCTCTTTCGTTCTGTCTCCAATTTAAATATCAAAATTTCAGGCAAATTATTCATTCATTCATGTTTGGGTGTTAGTTGCCTGTTCTCTTTCATCAGCGTCAAATTGTTCACACCAATAATAGGTAGCGAAGAAGGTTCAAATAAAAGCAACTTACTGCTATAGTGCAGACTTTTACTCTTCCTCTCCTGCAAGGGCCCTGTACTCTCGACTAAGTACAGTAGCTCTTTCCCCCTAGAAGAGTCCGATTCTCTCGCGGAAGTACAGTTCCTGTTTTATGGAAAGTTTAGATTATTTATTTCTTGTACTACGAAATTACGTAACTGATTAGGAAATAAACTGGAGTTTCTGTATAAGGGCTAGGTGCCTCGACTGCCTAAGTTCCCAATGCAGAGAGAACTATGTTTATGAGGAGAAAGGGAATGTTTGTTTGAAGGTAATGGAAAATGAGAAATGTTGATGAACACTAAGTTTCAACTGGCCAAGTACCTTCAAGTGAATACTCGCTTACCTGAAGACAACTGTAATTCCAAATATTTCGTTTAAGATTTATCTAAAACAAGTTTCAAAATAACACAAAGCAATCGAATCTAACAAATGCACAGGGTGGCCCGTTACCTTATCTCGAAACCTACGGGGATTACAAAAAAAAAATAATACAGAAGTTGTTACATTTTATTGCATTTTTGGATAGACAAATTCCCGTTTCATATCTTATTAATTTAAATCTTATACCCAGTTTTAAATTTTATCTGCCAATTAAGCCAAAAAGGTAACCCGTACTATGTTATATAATTGAAATTTTTATTAAAGTGGCTATTCGAAAATCCAATAATATAATTGGTGGCAACACCGCATATTTTATCAAAATATTTTAAATTTGTTCATTGCGTAAAGAAAAGCATTATTTTGGTTGGTTCGATCACTTCAAGTGAGGTTTCAGTAACTGTTACTAATGAAGGTAGGAGGCCAGATTAGGATTGCTTCAACTTATATAAGCTTGGAAAGCAGTCCGGATGGACCCCATTTTGTATTTATTTTCAGACAGATCTAAATCTAGGTATAGAGCAAGAGTTTGATGAGGAGTTAGTGAAGCAGTCTCACATTTGCAAATTTACAAATGTCTTCCATTGTTCCTGATTATCAAACACGTGCTTCTTTTTAGTTTGTCTTCCACAAGTAACAAAAATCTAGTGAAATATTAATTAGAGGACGCACTGTGACGAAAGCGAGACAACCGAGGTGACACTGATTAACAGACACAGACAATTTGTCGTCATGGTAAAATAATCAATTATTTTATCAATGCCCACATTTTTGGGTTAGGTCTGGAGCACTGTGCAGCGCACCTACCCCACAAGCACCGACCCACGTCATGGCACAGACAACGAAAAATCTGTGAAAGATGTCTAGAAAGTTAAGAGGAATACAAAATGACCTATTATACAGGTTATTTTATTCAAGATTACAATATTTTAAAGGTTTAAGTGAATAGGAACAAAATTTGTTTTAAAATTTTCTCGTCCCCTTTTTGAATTGCTTGACTTGCGAACGTATCGCATACGTAAATTAACTAATTAGGCTTTGTGGTTGCACCTCCAGGACCACCATCGATCATCAGTCACAGAACACAATTCGGAATCGAAGGCGACAACGTGAGGGTTGAATGCACGGCGTTCTCGATCCCGGCTCCGGAGAGGGTGGTGTGGACTTTCAACGGCCGCGAAGTCGATCTCCACGATCAGGATTATTCGATTCTGGAGGATCCGCTCCCGGAAGGCATCAAGTCGACATTAATCATACGGGAATCGCAGGAGAAACACTTCGGAATGTATAATTGCAGCGTCTCGAACCCGTACGGCAGCGACGTAGTGGAGATTAGCCTTATGCCGCAGAGTAAGTTTTTCCTTTTGGCTTCTTCCACGGTTTTTCCGGACTACGTCTTTTAGGAAATATGGGCAATTATTTTTCGCGTCTTTCAATTAGGGACAGAACGATACCGATGGTTGTTGATCGTCAGTATCGTATCATATTATTTTGCCGATACGATACGATATCTGCAATCCATTTAAAATCTAACATTTTAACTAAAACTGTACTGTAAAATGGGACTACTACGAACATTTTTTTTAAATTTTTTTATTTTCCTTGCTTTTGTTTGTGTTAATTTCAGTTTCTAATGTCACATGCACTAAGTAATTAAAAACGGTACGACAATACGAAAAAGTTCCAGGAACGCGGAGTTACCGCAACTATTCGAGCGAAGACTTAAGAAACGCACTTGAAGCTATTGAAAGTGGCATGCCTGTTCAAAAGGCGGCATTAAAGTGACCTTGGTAGCCGACACTTTATTACAAGAGGCAGAGTGGGGTTTCCCTTCAACCAAATAGGATGTTCGCACCGTGGTGAAAAACACCTTGAATAAACAGGGGAAAACTGGTATACTGGAGGACCCTCTGGCACTGTTAATGGGAACAGCCCTTCCGGATGGTTCAATAAATATTAAAAAATCGCGATCGTCCGTAGATAGAACGGACATTACTCAGTTTTCTGAAACTAAGGGAAGCATTAGGTGATGTTAATAATGATTATTCTGGTGCGAAGAAAGTTATTGTTCCCACAAACTTCTGTAGGATAGAGTGCAAAACTATAATGGTCTGTGGTAAATGCAGTTGGAGATCTCCTTGCTTCTATGGTGTGTATAAAAGCTCCAATTTATATGAAAACTGGTTTACCTTCTGGCACATGTTTTTTTTAAATCCCTTTTACCCCACTTAATAGCTACCAAGGGACTAGAAACATCAGCAATTGTAGTTAGGGATAACTTGGCTAGCCATTTTTCACCACAGGTCATAAAAGCAGCTCTAGAAAATTATATGTATATATACCCTTTTCCAGCCAATGATGCAGCCTCTAGATTTTTCTGTATTTGCATCCTTTAAGTGCACGTGCCACGAAATATTGGAAAAATGACGAAAGGAGAGCAGATGTTCTGGGACTTTACCTATAGAATACTTTCCAGCTTTATTTTCACTTCTGAGGAACAAAGTTTCAGATACTGTAGAGACAAATTTAAAATCAGGATTTAGAACCTCCGGACTGTATCCAATGAATGTTGATGAAGTCTTAAGGGAGATTGTTGGAGGATTACCTGAAATTTTGGAAGAAACTGAACGAGTTCTTGATTCATCATTGAAATGAGAGGAACAAGCGAGGACTATAAAAAAGAAAAAAAAGAAACAAGTTTGAAGGTGGAACACAGACGACTATTGAATACTAAGCGATTCCCAGCGAGACTTAAACTACGTCCTCCTATTAGTATAAAAACAAGCAATTTTGAAAAGTAACAGCAATTTAACTTTAAAATGTGCCATATGCCGCATGCTTTTTAAAAAATTGAATGTGTTTAATGCAAAAAGTGGATTTGCGGACTTTATAATTCAAAAAGTGCCTATCCATTTTATGTGTGCCCAATTTGTGAAGACTCAGATGATAAGCCGGAGGAACTATATACCGATAACAGCGATGAGGATAGAACCTTTAACCCTGAAACTGAGATCGAAAAGGATCAAAAATTAAAATAGCTTAAATTTAAGTTTAAATTTTTAAAAATTTAGGCCTAAAGTTTCTTTCGTTTATAAGTTAAGAAATGTTTCCTTAGTTATCTGTATGTTTAACCTTTAGTTCCTGTACATACCAAATAATTTTTCGGTTACTGTTTTTGACGTATAATCTTTGTTTTATTTTTATGGGTATGTAAAACATAGATTTGGCTGTTTTCTTGAGTTGCAAGAGAGTTAAAACAACTTAAATGTTCAAAATTCGGGAGAGCGTTATCTTCGCTTAGCTTTGGGCTTCGTCTGCAGTTTGGGGCATATAACTAACGTTTTCTTTTGTAATGATAACCATAAAGTGGCTTAAATAAAAGTTTTTCAGCAAAAGAAGAACTATTATGCTTGACCAAAAAAAAGCAAAAAATACCGGAGCTTCTTTGACGCTGTGAAGTTATAAAATGCGTTTTATATCGAAATTAGCATTTGTGTCGAAGTAGCCCGAACGCCGGACAATTTTAACATACTCATTTTTTTTAAATTATTTTCATATTGTTTTTAGAACAATTTAGAGTGCTGCCAGGCCAGATTTGTTATAATCTAAATTATTTCACATTAATGACGTTATATTGAAAAGTGTTCTAAAAACTTGTGAAAGTAGTCCCGATTGACAGTAATGAAAGTTATAGAACTAAAACGGCCAAGAGAAAATCCAAGAAATTATATCTGCATTTCGAAAATGGGGCGTAATCGCATTCCCTCATGATTACCCATTACCATATATTACAATGAAGAAAAATAATAACAAATATCTTTGCGTTTTAATACTTTTCGTAAATTTAAAAAAAATGACTTCATTTTTTTTAAATAAAACACCATGTTTGTTTTACTTGCATCTCATTTTGGGATCTGGGATTTGGCTCAACCGTTTTTGAAGTAACTCGAAGATATTATTCGATATTCACGTCGAAAATGGCAAATTATTTAATTATTATATATTATAAAGAAATAGTTTTAATAAAAATTCTAACGTCATCGTGACACTATGAATATCTGTCAGGATCCGATCAAAACATATAAACAAAGTTTTGTTTCCCCAGCAATGATGGTGATTACCGAATCCTGTTTTTAAATAATAAAGTCAAGTTATTTCAAAAACGCAAAACTAAGTACTGAAAAACTGAGTAAAAATATAATGCTCCTTAATTTTAAGTTTCTTTTACTGTTTCTAAAAAAATTTGAAAGGTGACCTGTTTCTTCCTACAGTGTCAAAAAGGGTTCTGAAATTTTTAATAAAGCTAAAGGAAAGTCCTTTATGATGATTTTAATGCAAACAGCAAAAGTCACAGAATTGTTTTACCAAATAAATATTTAAACTCGAAGAAATTGCAAATAAAGATTGCACAGAAAATTGCGTATACGGAACACATATAAAAAAAATAAAATTGCCATAATTCTGGAGTTTAGCTGGACTAATGTTTAACCCAAGGTTAACTGGTAACCCGAAATGGTACATCAAGTCCTTCTTGCTAAAATTTGGTTATCCTTTGATTTTATACAATTGGGCCTTGGAGGGTATGAAAAAAAAAGGGGCAGGAAAAGGTCCTGGCATTGATGAATCTAGGCATTTAATTCAAATCGGCATTAAGAAATAAAAGCACGATAAGAAAAAGTACGTGCTAGACGATAAAGAAGAGAAAATTTAACGCAAAATTATTTAAAGTAAATATTGTTTTTGTTAACAGGATACACTTTGTATTACATTCGTTTGTAATATTTGTGCAATGAGAGGTATTCGTACTTTTATTCCATATATTTTTCCATTTTTCAAGTATGCCTACAAGGGGGGCCAAATTATATGTTTTTCGGAGATTTTTGGTATTTCTTCTCATTTTGATACGTAGTGTAATTATTCGTTTGTGAAAATTTTGGTTTCGTGCTTTTTGATAGATTTTTTAGAAGGTTTTTTCAAAAACATTTAGTTATCAAGATACCAGTTATTTTTTTCTTATCGATCTTGATTTTCAAATGTAAAAACCCTATCTTGCGACCTTGTGAAATTACTCAGTTATGAGGCCATTTTTAGTTTTTCAGTTGCCGATTTATCAGGTATTGTTGCTTTTTTCTTTTGAAACAGCCAGTATTTAGTCCATTTTCCAGATTTGCCAAAATCTCTTTAAATCTGTTTGTTATACCTGATCTACCGCAGACTGACATTCGCTATATATGTCTTATGATTTTAAAGATTTTAATTTAGGTTTACAAATGACATTAACCGCCAAATAAACAAAAAGCAAAACAAATAAAATATACTAATTTATTAAACATCTTCATATTTATATGAAAATGTGAGTACATGATAGTAATAATATCTTCAGTAGAATATCCACGTAAGTGCTAGGCTAGACGCTCAAAAATAAATAATATGTAGAATTGGGATAGGAAATGAGGATAATTTTGAAAGGTTCAGGAGTTGATTAAAATGAAAATATCACTATTTTTGGCCTAGAATATGCAGAATAGTTTGCTTTAATTATCTGCACCTTGAAAAAAAATCAACCTGATCAAATTCAACAAATACATTTCTTCTTTCTCTTCCATTTCACGCTGTTTTATGGAATTCTATAATATAACTATTGCTAAGTGGGCTATTAGGTTAAATAAACTGACAAGGACACATATGGTATTTGTGAATTTGTACCCTGACTTAACCCTATGTTAACCTAGCTAATAAACAGTTAACCCAGAAAACGACTATTGACTCTGAGTTTCAGCCTGACCTAATATTGATAAACCTGTAAACTTTTGAATAAATCTCAAAATGCATGTGTTATACATTATAAATACCAAATAGCGTATTATTTCTAGTTTGCAACCTCGACATGACGGTAAACAATGTAATCTATTAATTACGTGTTTTAATATATATATATTTCCACGATTTGCATAAAAGCCATTAACGTCGCCTGAAGTGAACGAGACACTCTGCGAGCCGCAACGAAACGTCGATTATTCAGGGTATTTCAATATTCAATACAAATATATTAAGGGCACATATATCAGCCATATTAAGTCTGGTTTTTCATATAAAAATGTGTCAAAATGTATATTTTATTAATTTCTCAAAAATCCTTTTGACACAATTTGACCCGTCTATTTGTCGTCGTCAGGGTTTTTATTTGCGGTAATATAATAAAAAATAAATAAAAATAATAATAAAATCATGGTATGGCAGTAATGTTTTTAAGATTTAATAATATTTTTAGGTCGCACAAATAAAAAAAAACATTAAATTAAAAACGCCAATTTTCCAGTTTATTTAATTATAGGCATGCCCGGTTTTATGGAAATCATTCGAAAAGTTTTTGAGTAAAAAAGAACGTGCAAGCAAAGGGTTTTTAATTTTTCTCTTAGCTAAATTGAATATTTTATTTTAATTACACAGAATAATGACACTTTCGGCGATAAATAAGCTTGCCAAGTTTTGATCGGCAAAATGGTTTTTAAGAAATGAATAAAACAAACTATTGTTTTAAATAAATTTTGACACCCTGTATCTCTAAACCGAAGCACGTTGTTTGATATGAAAAACTTATTCTTACCTGGGAACTAAATATACCCTTATTCTTTGTAGTGAAATACGGAGCACCCTGTATTTAAAAATATACACTTATTCCGGGACTCTTTCAAATATTTGCAAAAGTGTAAATATCCTAAATTTTTAAATACATAAGTTCTTGAATGTGCTGCATGTTGCACAGCACCTAACTGCCTTATGTTTAGCGGAACATCCGGAATATTATTTTATTTTTGGATTACTGATATAATTTAATGTTAGCTTTCTTAAGGTTAGCTTATATTGAATCTCAATAGTTTCTTTCATATCTTCAACATTTTAAAAATTTTGAAAATAATAACATTATCGGTTGGCAATGCCTTTTATAACCATCGAAAATCAATCAAACCCCAAAGTTCTTTCTGATTAGAATTGATTTGGACATGTTTTTGGTTTTATTTACGTCAAATGCGTTAACAGACTCAACTTCTTAGATCACTTAATTCCGCTTAATAAGGCTCTTAGATTTTTACCTCTGGATCCTTAAATTTCGAATGATGTAACATTATTCACAACACGGCTCCCTTTCTAGAACTTTTAGTGTTGATAAACGCCTATGCTACACACTGAAGTTCACGGTGATCCCATACAGGGCGTCTAATATATGTGTGTCAAAGTAAAAAAAAATGTTTTTTTTTAAATTTCTACTCCCTTCTTTAAAATGCCCAGTTATACACGGATCTCGCCTACGACGTGAATTTCGTTTCCCATAGATCCGAGACACTAGTTTAGGAGCAATCGTATGTTTTCGGAGATATTTTTTAACGAATTTTTTAAAGATCATGTCAGTCAATGTATTCGTGTTGTTTTGTAAAAATTTATTCAAAAACTAACGGTCGTAGAAACACTATAGTATGCAACTCCTTTGGTTAACTTTTCGTGCCAAATAAACTCGTGACCCAAATGCCGTTTACCACACTTGTTGCATAATATACTATTTTTACATTCAAAACATTTTATAATAACAGTAAAATTAAATGTGGAAGCTTATTCAAAAAATAACATGGCAGTCCAATGTTAGCCAGTAAGTTAGTTAGGACAACGCATTAAAAATATAATATACTATTATGGCGAGATGTATAATTAATCACATTTTCCCCATACTTATTTTCAACGATTTTGTTATTACAATTTTTTTATTTCAATTTGATGTTTGCTAAACACTGACAGATTCTTTTTGGAAATAGAATAATAGCAACATCGTGAAGTCGAAATTTGATTAAAAATGTGATAATCAATGAAACAAAAGAAATCGAGATACTTAGCACACAAGAAAAAAAGTAGTTGTAGTAGGTACACATCTTAGACTAAACTAAACTGAAAAGGCGCTCTGAAGAAGCTATGAGCATGTTTGGCGAAACACCTCACTCAGAAGAAATGCAGAGCCCATAAGTTCCACAGCCTGCGGAAGTGTCTTTGTAAAAAAAAGATTGAAGTAATACAAAATGAAGATAAACGAAATCATTATAATATTTGCTTCCACATGACAACATTTTTGCTCAATCACTGAATAACGGAATTTAAATTAGTAATTTCATCATTAACATAATTCAATAAATTTTCTTCAGTGTGTACAGGCATAGAGTACACTAGTTCTGTGGTACAACCACGGATGTAGAATTGAATCATGCACCACATATTGTAATACACAGTGTCGTATTTGAAAAACAGAGTTTTGCATGCCCGATTTTAATATTGCTAAAAAAAACTAGTGTCTAAGATAAGGTAATAATCACAATAATAAATAATACATTGAACGTTATATTTAAAATTAGAAAGTTAGATGTCATGAAGTATTTATAAGATACCCTATATATTAGCAACTATATTTATTACAGCGCATTTCTTCAAATTACTATTGCATTTAAAGTTTTTCGCTAAAATAAACTCTTATGGAGAAATAAATAAATAAAAAGAAAAGAATACCACAGTAGTGAGTTGCCCTGTTAGTAAAATAGAAAATTACGTCATTTGTACACGTAAGTTGCCATAAAAGAAATTAAGATCCATCGTAGTAGAAACTGATTCGTACCAAGCGTCCAAACGGAGCTCACAGTCAGTCGCAGTTTAGATTTCGTCAGTCGCAGAGTTTCATCAGGTTTCAATAGTTTTCAATCAGGTTAGATCACGTGCGTAACTGTTGAAACCTGGTCTTTAGGTCTAAAGTACTAAAGCACGATCGATCTTAAATTTTGTTGTGGGACTTACATGAACGGAATGGTCGATTTGAGATACTCTAAGCTTATATCAAGAAGTACGACACAAAATTAAACACAGAAAGTGTTTGACCCCACGTATATATTTTATTTATAGTATTTTTATGTATACAGGGTCTTGAATATTTTTTGTCATTACATAGTACACGAAATTTTTAGTAGTTTTTGAGAAAAATGAACTATGCCGTTTTTTTTGCAACACTTAACACTTAAAAACTGAAATTGCCAATTTTTGTTATGGATCCATGAAAGTGGTTAATATGGTCACAAATTACCATCAAAAAGTTTTTTCTATTTAGAAAAAACTTATTTTTTTTATTAAATTCTGCGTCATATAGCTTTTATTACAAAAATTGGTAGTTTAGAAGTTATGTCCGAGAAGTCTAACCCTAGGTCGCTCGCCATCAGAACCCTCCGCCGTTGTTCCTATTTTATTATTTTTAATATTTCACGATCTCCGACATATATTTAGAGTCAAACACTTTTTATATTTAACTTTTTTCCTCAGTGTCGTACTAATTGAGTTAAGATATAGGAGCATCTGGACTATCATATCTCGATCAGGTCTCAATCGGGATCAATCAGGTGCATAACAATTTGAGCCTGTTTTTTACTACCTTAAATTTTCTCATGGGAGCTTACATTTAAAAATGATACATTCTTCGCCCGAACTGTCATTACTATTCTACTTCTGTACATCAGCAATTCCAGAAAAAAAAACAGCCGAGGATTGATATCGCCAACTAATTACCTCGTGCCGTTCCGACTCTGCCTTCCCGCTTTTGTAACTAAATAATTAACAAGCCAATTGACCCCTCGACTATATCGATTCGGACCACCCTCGACGCTGCGCGTTTTCGAGTGTTGCAAAAAAATTTACGCTTTTTTTTCTCTCCCTTTTTTGCAGAGAGCTTTCCTATGTTGATTATCGTTGTCGGTGTCATCGGGGCCATTATACTGCTCATTATCGTCATAATGATCATTTTTCTGTGTCAGCGACAGGGCAACAAGAAAGCGCCCCCAGAAAGTAAGACCGTGATCGTTCGTTATGCGTCAGATGGCCTATAATGGTTGTCGTATTTTGCAGACACGCATACCATCGAGAAACAGTGCAAGGAGTCGGATCGCAGCTCTAATATATCCGATTTGAAGCTCGATTTGAGGACCGGCTCGTCCAACTCGAACGTGCACTGCGACATGGATTATATTCCGGGGGCTGAGTCCGAGACTGGCAGCGAATCCGTGATAACCAGGATAGGGGTACCTCTAGCCGGACCTGTCAACGTGTCTGGACAGGAGATTTATAGATATTCGGCGGATTACACCGAGCCGAGTTTCCCACCCAAAGTAAGTTTACTGTGCTACCGTTTACAGTCTATTTCAGAAAAGGGTAGAATAGTATACCATAACCAGAAATATTGTGTTTCTACAACCGACCCCGCGGTTAACTTTGCCTACTGTATATTACTCCAAAACCGCAGCCCCTTATAGAACACCCTGCCGAGCGGACCCTTACCCGTAACCATTCCAGGACTGTCCTAGAGATTGATCTACCTACACAAAGCGTGATATAAGTATGTTTTCAATCTTCAAATTCAAATTAGTACAAAGTAACAATTTATTACGATCTATTTCATTACATTTCTACATAGTATCACTATTAATATACAAAATATTAAATATAATAATAATAAAGTATCATTCGCTTAAAAAATTGTCACTATCGCTACTGTCGTCACCTAGTTTAATGATCAACTCCGCCACTAATCGTTCTCGATAAATATTTTCGTCTTTTATTACCCGTTTATCACCTCTTGTCAAATTAACTTTACGGTACTATTACAAAATTTTGGTGCAGTGTTATTTCTTCTTATATGCGCTTTCAACTCAGACCAAATCATCTCAAACGGTGTATAATCTCAAGATTTTATGTCCGTTTTGTTGTGCTATCAAACCGCGAATATAATCTATAGTCTTAAAAAAGACTGCTGTTGCTTACAAATCGAATAAGTATGTAGAAGACACAAAAATACAAGAAGAAGAATGATGTTAATCGACCAACACACAAGACAAAATTGATTATTTTCAAACTTACCTGTAAGATAAATAGAGTACAGGTACTTACCGTTATCCCTTGAACTATCCAGTGAAAAGAGCCTCACAGAGTCAATGCTCGAGAATCAGATACATAAATACATAATTACTGGAAGGATCTCATTCAAATACCTCCGTAATATATACGAACGCATTGCAATTTAGATGAAACTTTTAAGAACTATACATATCACCTGGTGTTAAAATAAACGCTTATACTTATTCGAAAATACCCCGCAGCATCAATGCTTAATCAAATTTAAAACGGTCCGTTTACTTTTTAAATAAAAATTTCAAATTTCTACAAATATTGGTTACGTTCCACTACTTAATGCAGAATAACCATTTGCTGAGATGGATTTTACCAGGATCCTGCGAAGGTCTGCGGTTAAAGTACTGTAAAATACTTAAAATTTTTGGTCGTAAAATAACACTTCATTAGGTATGCAAAAGGACTGCAGAGCAACCTAACGAACACTTAAGCCAATTGTATTGTTTATTTCATTTTTATGGAGTGCGGGTAGAACCACCAGGATTTAGGTTATTTTTTATATTTGCCTATAGTCTGTCTCAATCTTCATCGTGTCGACTCTCGACCGACCCTCCCAAAGAAAATTTTAACGATGTTATTACCTATTGATTAAAGCCATTTATTTGTTCTCACTTGAGTGACAAAGCAGGGGTGGGCCAGGTGTATTTCGTTTCTTTCTGAAATATTTCTTGAGTATTGACTATTTGTGGTAGTGTTGTAGTGTGGTAGTTTTACGAGATTGTACCAACGTCGCGTCGAAAAGAAGCTTTAAAATATACCTGTCTAATTACAAAAACGCAAATATCGTTGACAAGGGATATTATTAATCGTGGAGAATTGGAGAAAAGGAATAAACGTAGTGATATTCAAGTTCAAATACAGTCGAACTGCGATTTGACACATAAAAATTTCGAGTTATCAAGACTTCGAGTTATCAATAAAAACTACAAATGCATGTACCCTTTTGTGAATGAACATTTATTCATTCATTTTTAAAAATACAAATGCATTGTATATGTACCCAGTATATATAAACATAGTATATATGCACATATACATACATATGTATGTACATAGTAAAGTTTACTCTTTCACTGGAAAAAAGTCAGTTATTTGTGACTGACGACCGGATTTCTTATTTTGGTTTTCAACAGAAGCTTCAATTTTATTTAAGCAATCATAGAGGAAATCGGTTGTGTATTCACTGATTTTCAAATAGGAATGCAAGGCAATCAACGAATTTTCAACCAATTCATTTGAAGGTGGTTTCCTCCTCCATCGTGTCTCTTTCGCAGTCATCTTCGATGTTTAACTGTACCGGTTCGGATCCGCAGGACTCGATAATATCTCCATCAATAGTAAACTCTGAAGTAATAATATCCTCATCCACATGTATACCTCTAATGTTTGTCCAAGATTTAAACTTGATTTCTATTTGGATTTCGTCTTCACTCTTTTCTTTCAGGCGTTCACTTAGGAAAATCAATGGAATCTCATCTTCTTCTTCCCATTCAGAATACTGACCAAAACCGGCTTTTTTAAAACAATTGGAAACTGTTTCATGCTTTCATACCTTCTGCACTCTTTTCTTTCAAACGTTCACTTAGGAAAATCAAGGGAAACCGGCTTTTTTAAAACAATTGGAAATTGTTTTAGGCTTAACGTCGATATTCCATGCGATAGTTACGTCGTTAACACAATCCATTAGTGTAATGTTATTGCTTTTGTTTTCTTCGAAACGTCCCATTGCGGTGATGGCCGAATGTTTATTTTTCAAAATTGTAGACACTGGTACTTGTCGAAATCCCATACTTCACAGCTACATCTTTATTTTTTGAGCCACTTTCCACTTCTTTTATAACCTTGAATTTTTGATCAACAAACAAAGTTTTTAAAGTACGTTTTGATGACATATCAACAAATGCAAAAATCCAAAAATGAGTTTAATATAATGCGTAAATTGAATAGGGACAGTATTTTTCACTTAGTATTAACTAGTAAGTCATACAAGTGAACTTAGCAAGCACAGAAACTGAACTGCTTGCATAGATACGTTAAAAAGACAGGTTAAGATTCGGTCGTAATTAGGGGGTTCCCCGAGAAAATTCGACTTATCGAAGTTGGCACCAAATGTTTCTCGAGTTATCAAGATTTTCGAGTAATCGAAGTTCGAGTAATCAAGACAAACTAACACGCATTTCCTACTTTTGACGCTATTGCCAACCAATTTGGTTCGAATTATCAAAAATTCGAGTTATCGAAGTTCCACTGTATATTGTCTTCATCAAAGCGAAGTTGTTCCTCTAGAAGAAGATTAAACCAATATCAATGTAAGCCGTGCCACCCTCCATAGATTTATTTGTAAAATAGGATTTAAGTACAGCAAAGTATACAAAAGGCAAGTAATAATGAAATCACACAGATTACGCACTTGGAGAAAGAAATTGAAAGATGTTGATTAGACAATAGATCCATAATTTACCTTGATGAAACATGATTCGATACACACGACACTGTATCCAAAGGATGGGTTGTTCCCATTCAAAGCTGTCAGACGAAAGCACCTTCAATAATGGAAAATGCATCACCATAATGCACGCTGAGTCAGAAGACGGATTTGTCCCAATCTGCTTGCTGTTGTCTGCAAAGAATTTTGGGGATATTAGCATGGTTTATCATGAGGATTCAAGCGCCGAACTTTTTGAAAATTGGTTTCAAAACAATCTTATAAAAAATATTCCAGATAACAGTGTTATTGTCATGGATTACTCAAGCTACTACAGCTGTCTGCTACACGGAGCATCAGCCACATAAACTGAAATTCAGATACATTCGTTAAAAAACGATATTTATTTTCAGTTCAGTTACAAAAAAGCGCAACTTTTGGAAGTCCTAAAAACAGTATATATGCGATAATTTGGCTGAACAAGCAAAATTAAAGGTCAGAGCAGAAAATGTTACTCGTACTTTAAGTCCCGGTGTTATAAATTTCATAAAAATTGTAATTAATAACATAGCAATTGAGAGCTGGAAAAATTCAGTACAGCACATTATAAAAAACAGAATTAGATTTAGACATTTAGAATAAAAATGTAATTATGTAGGTTTTTAGAAATTTATTATATATAAGAATGTAATATAATATAAAGTAATTTAATAAAATTATACCCACCTAAATAAACAAAAAAAAATGATTACCAAAACCTTTGAGAGATCCTAATGTTCTCTCCATTAATACCTGGCGGACCCGAGTTTTATTGCCGTCTTCAAATAACATCTATAAAGCCAGCACAAGAAGATTGAGACAGACTATACCCACTTACCGGAGTTAACAGAAGTCACCGAGAAAAGCTTTTAATACATTTTTAATATAATTCTTACCGTATTATATTTTCGACTTGTAAAAGAAAACAAATGCTCATCGCAAAGTTGAAAATTAGTAGCATTTTTTTATTTTTAAATGGGACACCCAATATATTTTCTGTTATTGCGAAATATTGTTGATATTTGGATAAACCGTTCTTGCATTATTTAAGTTAAAAATTTTGATTAACTAAACAGATGTTGATCAAATTGCCCAGGCGTTCCTCAAATTGAAACCTTCGCTTAAGAAGAATAACTAATAATACTAAAAATTTAAAAGAATATAATATCAACCGCACAAAACGATAATCAAAACGGTAATGAAACGAATAATAATGAAAATATAACGTGAAGTAAATGGCTATGTGTTTTCTATATATCTGGATGATCTTTATGTCTGGTTCAATTCCTGGGCTCAACACTCGTATATTTTACAAACAATGGCAGTGTATACCCCGCATTTTAAAATCCCCCAAAGGAAAATATTAAGAGGGTTTAAATCTGGGCTATTAGCCGGTCATTAAATTATGACACACCTGCCTATCCAATGATCTGTGAATGATGAATGATGAACTGGATCGGTATTGTGGGGCGCGGCCCTATCTTGTGGCCAAACCAGTTTAATATATTGATGAACTGGAAGGTATTCCAAATAATTTGCAATGTTATTTTGAATTAAATCTAAATATCGATTGTCCGTCAGATATCCATTAAGAAAAAATCAGATTTAAATTTAGTAGGCACAAGTTATACAGATTCAAATGTCCAATCGAAGTCAACTTTAAAAAGTTTAAATTTGTTGGTCCGTGTAATTATACCTATGCGTTTTAAACCCATTACTTTCTATTCAATGTGGCGGTCTTCCCAAATAATTTTTAAATATCTAAGACAGTAAATTAAACCATGACATATCGTTTTCTTCACTACAGGACGGCCAAAACAACAACGGCTACGTTCCGTACGTAGACTACTCGAGAGACTACAATCCGCCGATGATGCAGCCACCGACATCCCTAGACCCGTCGAGGGAGAGTCTGCAATCGACGCGTCTCCAATTGAACTCTCTCCAGGCGCACCAGATGTCCATGTCGACTTCTGGAATGCCCTTAAATGACTTGTCAGACCTGCACGTGAGCCAAGCGAACGGCGTCATCCCGGGGATAGATCCTAGGTTCAGCGCGACCTACGGTAATCCGTACCTACGCAATACCAGCGTGGGTTTGCCAACACCGAATACGGCCAATCCGGTGGCCACACCTGCCCCGCCCCCCTATTCGAGGGACAATTCGCGTTTGGCCATCGGCAGTAGTGCGATGATCACCGCTAGCGCGAACGTTGTGAACACTGTGGTGGCAAACGGTAGCAATGGGTCGATGCCTCAAGTAACTAGACTACCGAACTCCCCGACGAGTCAGTACATAGTGCCCAATTCGACCATGAAACGAGGAACGATGGCAACTCACGTATAATATCCCTGAGTGATTTTTGGTTTTCTTGAAATACGAAAGTAGCGGCATGCGATGCGGAATTATGGTGGGGGCACACTTTTTCTGTGGCGTTGGTAATAACATACCATCACGGAACTAACTACATGTGATACAACCAGAATGATGCGGAAGTTATTAATTAATTTGTTTCATGATTTTCAAAATTACAAATCATAAGATAAAAATCACATATAAAATGAAATGACGTCTGTAGAGCAGCTCACTTCACTGCACACTGCAATAGATATGACTAATAACAATTCCATACCTTTATATCATGCTATATATGATTTGCAAATAGTCCCCTTTGCAATAGTTTTTTATCTTCCACGTTCGCTAAGATAGTAAATTAAGACGTTTGTGGTTATCCATATCATCTCTGGGTTTTGAGAAATAAAAAATTTTAATTCATTATTTATTACCGCTTTTAACACTACCACTGCTTCAGTATTCGCTAGTTTGTTCCATTCTTTATAGTGTTGTAGGGAGGTACCATAATTTTAATGACCTGTAGGAGTACCTACATGTTTTTCTGAAATGTTTCTTGAAAAAAAAAATCCCAATTTCATTCTAGAACAATTTGTTAATAGAAAAACTTTCTTAAGTAGTCAAAGTGATGTATCACTAGCTTTCCTTTTGGGACGTTGGGAAAAAGACAAACACATCAAGCGGCCACAAAAAGTGTGCCCCCTTAACGCGTGACACACGAGCGGCAACGCAAAGACTGAATAAGTTATCATTTTGAATGATTTTTTAATTATTATCGACCGTTCAGTTCAAAGTAGATAGAAACAATTCTGGTGATTCGAAACACAGAAGCGGAGCTTGTACATTTTACTAGACAATTAAATTAATTGACCGAATTATCAATTTAAAAATGATTACAATTAATCAGAATATGTAAAGTTATTTTACTAACAATGTAAAGTTGCATATTTTCTCCGTCATTTGTAGTTCAGCGTATTCGATTCGCGCTGGCTTTCCCCATTTTTAATTTTTAATAATTATATTCGTAAATTACGCTGTGTGATAAAAGAAATGAAATTATACATATCCAATTGATTAGGTAAAACTTTTTGTATCTTTTTATTATTAATAACAACCCATCGGTTGAATCAATTTTTAGATGAATTGTTGATAATGAACTAAGTTTAAACTTAGTAAGTTATGACTCCAAGTAATTTGTTTAAATTCTACAATGAGTACAATTTCTGCGTTAAATAGAGCTGGGTGCTGAATATCTTAAGGGCAGAGTGACAGTAGTTGATACTATTCTGAAGGAGAATTGATCTTCCTCAAACAGTGTTTCGTTCTATTTATTCTGTGAACTATTTTTTATTATTTTAATCTAAATTTCAGAGAATGTCATAATATATCAAAGCAGCCGATATCACAATTTACCGGTTCTGTGAAAGCTATAACTAAAAAATATTAGAAAATTAAGAAATAAACTGAAGTCGCCATGTTTCATTAATTAAACCCCTCATGTCGTAATTGGCGTTGAAAATAAAAGAAGCTCATTGATTATCAAGCTCGTTAGCAAGACTTAAGTTTTTTTTCTACTCAGTTGCCTATTCTCTGCTTCCTTAAACCCTTATAACTTACCTTATGTACTGTTTACATAGTTATCCTTGCCTTGCTTGATATCTGAATTTTTTTAGCCTTTGCTACCGTATATTTACCACAGCGTGTAGTTTTATGTCAATGGTATAAGCAATAAATTTGTTTCTATTATTATGTAAGGTGTTTCACATAAAATTTACAAGTTAACAACTGTTCCTAATTTGATGCAAATGAAAACTCTCGCTCTCCGATCAGAATTTATTCGTGTTTACGTGCCATATAAACTCACCAGAAAATATGCAGCTCTGGACAATTATTGTACATATCACCGGTCGTGACTGTTTTCTGATCGACCTCGATCAATATGTCAATTCGCTCCTAAATTAGTTAGATACCTATCGTATAGCACAATAAGGATTTTCGTCTAAAACTGTATCAAACAAATGCCGGAGCTTCCACGAGAATCAGACATTATATTATCGTTTATTTCGATTTCTATCACGAAAAAGTTTCCTATTGAGCCTACCGAAAAAATATGTTGCGAGTTTTGCGTTAATCTACATTCGTCGATAAAACTCGCGTCGATCAAATGTAGTTGAAGGGATGACGATGATCGCTCGGTGCCTTAACATTTTTCGCCGATTTGTGACGTAATGCAATTACGTCTATAATATTTTCTATCCGCGCTTTAGGGCTTAAAATTAATCGGGGAGAAATGTCAACACGCCACAATATAGTCCGGTCAAAATAGACATTTCGAATAACACAAATTGGGTACACCAATAGAAATCAGTGCCAAAAAAATTATTTATTATCAAAAATTAAAATTTTCGGCTTTTTTTATTTTCCCCGAATGCGGCAAGTTTTTCAAAAAAATATGTCAGACATTGTAGAATTGCCTGGAAAAATAGCCAGTATATTTTTTTTCTAAGATATCGACATTATATGCACACATTTCCAACGTATACAACGTGAGTCTAAAAGATATGTTTGAAATATTGGGACTTACATTATGCCATTCTTCATTTTCACCCCGGGGAAAATTGGTAATTAAATTATCTTGTTAAATTACAGTTTTGGTGTAAATTTTGTAAGTACAAAATTTTATCAATGTACGCTTATATTATCTTACTTGGCATAAATTCTTTCTTTCTTTTTTCTCTTTTTTTTTGATATTGTAACAATTGAAATTATTTGCCATAAACTTTTGACAAGTTAAACTGTAAGAAATATCATCAAAAGAGGTGATGCAATTGCAAAAAAAACTTGTACTGTTCACCTGCGTGTATATAATTTTATGATCTGCAATTTATGCCTGAAATAGCAAAAATTGACCTTTGAGTTTGAAACGTTTTTTGATCACAGGTCGAATCGATTACTACTTTTGGCAATTTATTTCTGCTGGTATACCCGACATCTCCACAAAAATCGGACCAGGTCGGAATTTTTGTTATTGGATATTTCTATTTTCATGTCTAATTTGACAAGATTTGTAACCACAAAAATCGAGTGAATTTTGTATTGCGCGCCAGCTTTCTGTCCCCTATACTGTTTATAATCAACTTATACAGTCATTTCACTTCAACTGTTTTCATGCTGTGCGTCCCGTACGCGTGCAAGTTTCGACTGGAAAAAAAACATTGAGTGTTGTTTGTTTTATGAAATTGTTAACACTTTAAAAGAAATGTTCTTGTTATAAATTTATATATATACCAAAGATATTTTTTGTAATATATTAAAAAAGAAAATTTAAAATCGTGTATATTTTTAAAGTAATTTCCAATCCAACGACGCTATCATATTGAAACTGGCCTACTCGATAAAACTTCTAATTTTTAGGTGCAATTATCGTATTTTGTAGTTTTCGATGCGTGTACTTACTTTTTTTAACCCAGCGGTATGCTCAGTATCATTTTATTGTATTTATGTAGGTATTGTAATTAATGTATCATATTGTTTTTGTTTTATTCTGTTATACTTTGTATTTTATCGTCGGCCGCCATTTATTTTACGTTCTACTGTTTTGTTCCGTTCTATTCGCGTTAAATCATAGTAGAACTTCTAGCTCAAATACTATTAATAAAAGATTTGTACATATGAAAATATCTTGCAATTAAATGAATAAAAAATGTTTTCTATACTATTAGAAAAAAATACCGTTACTATTGTGTATAAGAATTTTTTTAAGTCTCGACGAAATAGCAATATTTATAAAAAAAAATTGTGATTGTAAAATAAAACAGCCTCCTGAAATACGATTTTGGTTTTGATAGGTGTGCCCTGTTTTTCCCCGTTTGTACATCCCTGGTGGCTTTCAAATAATCGAAAAGGCGAGAACTGTTATTTATTTCTGTCACTTTTTGCTTAAAATTCAACTTGATTGCCTATTAGACGTATATGGAGAATGAAAAAAGATTTTTTAAATATTTGGAAGATTGCAGAACCAAGTTCATCTTTGTAAATACCCTGTATATTATTACATTTTCTAATTACAAATTCTGAAACTTGCCGTCTTACGTTGTAGTTCTCTTTTGCCATTTTGGGGGTAACAATATAATTAAAACTTTTGCCTATTTTAGGTAAAAATTTGAAAATTTATTCACGACTTACCAATGAGTTCATATCGACATAAAATTTACTTTATCGCCTGCAGATTATTGTTTACAAAATTATTCACATACTGCAAAATATACAAATGTCAATTAAACATGTAATTTAAGCAAAAAAATTAGAATATTTTTAATATTATTTGGCGATATAGTTGGATAGTATTTATCATATAAGTTATTTTATTTGTTCATTGATGTTATTTTAACTGGCGAATTGATATTCAAGCAACGAGATCGCAGCAACAACCTGCAGTAAATTTAATGAGCTCTATCCAAATTTGATTCAGATGAATAAAAAGAAGTTTTAAAAAGCTTAAGCTTTAAAAACTATGCTATACTAAACTATAAACAATATTGTTCAATGTAGCTAATTTTAAAGACAAATAAAATTCATAATTATAACACTACAATTTCTTCAACCCAACGACCTTCCTCACTCACTAAGAAAAAAATATTTGAACTGATGATTGTAAATTTTCCATTCTCAACAGAAAAAACTCACATTTTTGGGTTACTTTAAAATGTCCACAATTCTGTACACATCCCGTATGCTTTAGCTTATAGCTAATGTTATAATATGATATATCAATTTACTAGGAAGCCGAGAACAAAATTTTAGATTTTTATCTAAAACGGGGAAAATATAATAATTTTTGCGCTGTTTCCAGAATTTTAGAATTTTTCATCGAAACTAAAAATGTATGTATATATAGTGTTTATGGTTGGAGTAGATGTGGCAACCCTGCAATGCCTCAAATATTTTAGAAATAGAGTCTCTTATGGCCTCAGCTGAATTTTTAAAGATTTATTCTCATTTTTAAAACCGTATTTGGTCATTTTACAAAGAATTATTTTCGTTCAGATTCATAATTTGAAATTTTAAACAAACTTCGAATAAGAGCTGGAACTAAGTATAGACATTTATGATTCAATGATACTTCCAGTTTCTTTTTTAGCATTCGAATATTCCGATCCAACGCATCCCAAATGCGGTTCAGATCTGGCGATTGGGATAACCATCCAAGTGCAATATTTTTCTCTAAACCATTCGTTCACTAACTTGGATATGTGTGTCGGGTCATTGTACCGTTGAAATATTTCTTTGTATCGAAATCAGAAGAAAAGTAACGGTGACTAGAAATGATAAACAACTATTTCTACACGATATTTGCACTGTAGAATCAAGATTGAATAATTTAGAACACAAGTTATAAAAGGTTTCAATATTTATTTCCAACCACAAATTCCTTATCGTAAAAAAAACACAACAAAGTGAAAAAAAGAATTAAACTCCAGCTTACTTCAAGCATACACAATATAAACATTATTAAAAGTAGAACATTGTACTTTCTAATAAGAGTTTGGGGAACCCTGCATCTTTTGTAATATTTCTTAAATACTTGCGAAGCTATTGTGCTGTCTGTGGTCATTGTCTCGTAATTGGGCAGAATCTGCTTGTTAGTGTTATTATTATAGAATTAATAGCGTCTACATTTAATTGTTCCAATTCCTAAACCTTGTGGGGAAGCAATTTGTTACAACGGCCTAATGCCAGCCCTCGGCAGATTGCAGTTTTGTCTATGGATCTTATAGGTAAATATTTTTCCATCACCAATAAACAATTGGTCAAATAAAACACCGCAACTTTCAATTATAACATTTGCTTTATTTCAATCAAAGGAAACAAAAATAACTGCAACTGTGCGCGCAGCATTATTTATATAATATCGTCAGATTTACAAAACGTCCTAGCAAAATGACCACACCGTGCTAATTTTCATATATTTACAGCGATCTTGACGTGGAATATACATCTTTTACATTAATTAAAAAATGTATAGGTGTTGTATTTGCGAACTGTGTTTCTATACGTTTATTTGGTATTGAAGACGTCGCAGATATTGAGTAGTGACTTAAGCGGTTACGAAAGAAAAAATAAATTTGACTTTAATTGAATCTAGATAAACTGCGTCAAATAACGAAAGCAAATTCCAATGGCTTGGGCCATATAGCTACTAGCGATATACATATCCTGCCTATGCCGGAACTTATAAACCAACTATGAAACAAATTTTGAGATCGTCCATTCTACTAAATTGTAGAGGCTAGAAAAACATAAATGTAAATAAACATATTATCTAATAGCTATATGGCTCAGGCGCAAGATAATCTAAAAGGCATGACTGACTAAATTGCTATACAATAACGAATCTAAACTAACCAAAACTACTAGTCGGAAGGACGGCGATATTTGCGGAAGTGTCTCTATCAGATAGCGCGTCTATATAGACCCGGGAAACTCTAAAACTAACGGAACGCTTTAACCTCTTCCTATTCCACAACAAAGTACGTAATCGATAGCACTAAAATTACACTAACTTTAATAACAACAATGAGATTCGAAAATGATTTGAAATGAAATACCTATTTCTAGCGAACCAGCAGCCTGGTTCCCATCGCGTAAATTAAGGCAGTGTATATAAGACTGAGCCAAAAAAAATAATTTTTTACGAGAAATGTATCGATAAAATCATTGAGAACGACGAAACAAAAAAAATATGATGAAAGTTTGAGGCCTTTTGTATTTTCAATTTTTTTGTCCTGATCCCATTATTTTGCGCCAAAGCAGTCAAACGATTGCGGCAAAAGTATTTGTTTGTTGAATATATTTGTAGTAAATTGAATTATCTATAAAATTGGCCCAATCGAAAATATATTATTAAAATCCCACGCTTCCACGAAACGAAGCGTTAAATCCTAATTATTTTTTTGATAAACCACTTAATATACAAAAAAGAAATATAAGTTATTGATTGAATTTAAAGAAAAAATTAAATGACCTTAAAGTCTTTCTATTCCGTAAGAGTTTTTACTGATCGATTACGGACGCTTCATTGTTCTAAAAATAGAAACGGCAACGTAGGAAAGTTATAGCAAATATAATTTTATACCGATGTGTAAAATATTCCGAATAAATAGTAAAAAAAAAAATACATTCATTCATTCTGAATGATTTTATAGACATATTTTTCAAAATACACAACGGTCGATTCTCTTGGCCCAGTGTATTGAATATCTCCATTCTAAATGCGAATTTTACAAGAAATGTTCTATACCTACTGCTTCAGAATAAAGGCGGGAGGTTCATTTGAAATAAAATGTAGTATCAAAAGTCACGCCCCTCATTAGATGAGGACGCATTTTTTTGAATGCCACAAAAAACAAAACGCAATCTTTTAACGTCTTTCGAATAGTTTATGCCATACATGCCATACACAGTGATCTACTTAAATTGCATGAAATGATGCCAGTGGTGTGAAGTGAGGTGAGAAGTGCACAAGACAACTGGCAAAAATATACTGTTATTTTCAAAGTTATT